TGTGCAGTTGCGTAATATTTACAAGCCCCCCCTCCCCCCCAATCCCCACCCCCCAAAAAAATAAAATTCAATCATGAAATCCCCTCACCAAAAATGGTACTGCACCGGCAGTCCTGTGTTATCTTAAAAAAAGAGAAAGAAATACAAGAAAAAAAAATGGAGAAGCGCAGATCAACGACATGCTCTTAATATACAGGAGAAGATGTAAGTACAAAATAGAAATTATTACCATACATGTCCAGCATGCAGGATTAATATTTAATGCAGATTTTTTTTTCTTTCTACATGTATTCGAATATAACCGAGCAGGCAATAAATCAATGAAATGTTGCATAAAATGTCACCCCCTTATCACCCAGACCCCCTCCCCATCTCCTCCCTGGTAGACAGGAGCTGAATTTGCATAAAGTGGAGTCACGCTTGTTTGATTTTTTTTTTTTTTTTTTTTTTTTTTTTTTTTTTTTTGGGGGGAAAATTTGGGGCCCAACTTACAGACTGTGATGCTTGTGAGGGCAGGCCTACTTTTTTGTGTGTTCATAAACAGTGTCATGAATTTGCAGAAGAGCAACAACAACAAAAAAACAAAAAAAAAAACAACAACTTGTCAACAAAAGACATCTGCCTTGATCCCATGTCTCACTCTTAATTACAGGTTAGTTTGAAAAGCTGCAGCCTTGGCGGAGAAGAACAATGTTCATCTGAGAGTCCTCCTTTCCCCCCTCCACGAAGAGTCTCTTCACTACAAGCAACTAATCTACAAAAGATGCAGCGACTGATCGGACTCTACTTCGCTTGTTGCGTCTCTGTTGACACGTGGAGAGGCATCGGTAGATGGTTATATATGAGAATAGTAGCTATCTGATGGATTATTCTTCTAATATGAATATAATTTCACTGTTATTAGTAACAATCAAACAGTAGGCGTGGGGATGTGTGGATTATTACTGTCTGTTCATGAGGAGAGTCGGTCGAGGTGTGGTGGAGGAAGGGAGGGAGGAGGGGGAGAGTTTGTAGTGGAAAGGCTGACGGGGGGACGACTCACATGAAAAACTCTGGCGATGACGGGTTGTCGCTGGTCGAGCCGGCCTCGCGGAACCCGCTCCCGGCTCCCGACCCCGTCAGCTTCTCGCACTTGAGTTTGTAGGCGTCCCTCTCCCGCGCCAGCCGGCTGATCTCCGCCTTCAGCTGCTCCACCTGGTTCATCAGTTGCGTCTTCTCGTTCTCCAGCACGTGCTTCTGCTGCACGCGCTTGAACCTGCAGGACTGCGCGTAGCCGCGGTTCTTCAGGGTCCTCCTCTTCTGCTTGAGACGGATCACCTCGTCCTTGGTGAAGCCCCGCAGGTGTCTGTTGAGCTCCCGCACCGACATGGACACGAGCTGCTCGTCCGAGAAGCGGTCCTCCACGTTGAGCCCGCCACCGCCGGCGCCGTGGTGCGCGCCCGTCTGGCTTAGGTGGCCGTGCGGGTGGTGGTGGTGATGGTGGCGGTGGTGGTGGAGCGGCTGGTGGGACTCTGGGGAGACTGGAGACGGGCTGTCGGGGTCCTGGCTGTGGTGGTGGTGGTGCTGGCTGTGTGGATGGTTGTGTCCCCCCGGGTGTCCGGAGAGTTCCTCGGCGTGGTGCGGGAGGCTCCCGGCGTACGGGTGATGATGCTGCTGTTGGCCGTGGCCGTGATGGCTGTGGTGGTGGTGCGGGCCCCTGTAGCCCTCGAAAGCGCCCTGCTGCTGCTGCAACTGCTGCTGGACGTGCGGAGCCTGCGGGTGACCGTGAGCCGTGGCTCCAATCAGGGCCTCCACAGCGTCCTCCGGGGTCAGGCTCAGCGTCTGCGGGTCTATCTGCTGGTGGTACCCGCTGTTCGGCATCCAGTACAGCTCCTCCAAGTGGTGCTTCTGCTCCGTGGGGCTGAAGCTGGGCGAGGAGGGCACCGAGCTGCAGGGCGTGCTGATTGGGGTGGATGACACGGAGCCCTGGGGTTGGAGGCGGTTACACTGGCGCACCCCGTTGCGATCCAGCCCGACCAGGCCTTCCTTCTTCACGTCAAACTTCATCAGGTCAAAATCATTGACATATTCCAGAGCCAGAGGGCTGCTGGGCAGCTCCGGGCCCATGCTCAGCTCTGCGCTCATGTTGCTGTCGCGACTCTTCTGCAGATACGCAAAGGTGTTGGCGAGTGTCGCAAACACGGACTTATTAATCAAAGTCTCTTCTCTTCTTTCTTGTTTCATGCAATAGTTCTTTTGGCTCCTCCACAAATCTGCGCTGACTTGCTGTAGCATGAAACACCGTGTGATTGGTGGTGGTGGTGGGGGGAAAGAAAAAGGAGAAAAAAAAGTTGTGGAGAAAAACTTTGAGACTAATGCTCAGCACGCTGTTTGCGTCATATAGCCTACTTCTGCTGGAGTAATCTGGCAGAAACCGGGCAAGAGGTAGAAAACAGTGCTGCCTCAGTGCAAAAGTAAAAAAAAAATACTCAGTCCTTTCAGCAGAAGGGTATTCACGGATAAAAATATCAAGATAAATAATAATAGAAGAAATACCAGGTTTGCGCGCTGAGACGGGCACCAGTCCACGTCGCACCTTCTCGGTAATAAGTCCCTTTTTTTCTCCAGGAAAAATAAAAAAAAGGAGCCAGGAAGCGAAGTAAACAGGACGTCTGTTTTCCCTTTCTTCTTTTTTTTCTTTCTCGCCGAGAAGCTGCTTTTTCAACTCTGCACCGCAGAGGTTTAAAGGCTCGCCTCTCTCTCTCACTCTCTCTTTCTACTCTCTGGTATCCAGCAGACTGCGCTCGGAGCCAGCCGACGCTTTATCAATCTTGCGCACTGTGACGTCGTGCTGGAAGGCAGGATCTATGGCGACCAGCGCTCCAATGGGGGAGAGAAGCAAATGATGAAAAAGGAGGTGGAGGGACACTGCACAGGAAAGGGAGAGAGAGAGAGAGAAAGAGAGAGAGAGAGAGAGAGAAAGAAAAAGGAGGTGGAGGCGGCGCTCAGTTGAGGCTTGACAGCCAGAGACAGTCAGCTGACCGACTTCCCTAAAAGCAGAAGGTGGGAGGACAGAGGAAGAGAGACATGCCTTCACTTCATGGAGTCTCTTCTTCACTGGTTCTTAAATTCATGTCAGGGAGTTACAGGCTTCAGTGGATCAAAAAAAAAAAAAAAAAAGCCGAATGTTAAGTGTTTCTCCTCCAAACTGAGAGACTGTTGTTCTTGTGTTATTGACCAACTGCAACTGCAAAATAAACATTTGTGACATATTTACCTTCCAACGTGTCTCGACATTTTTGTGCCTTGAGAACGTTTTTTCTTGAGTTTCATGCTCACCATAGTTATTGCATCTATCTCAACATTTTTGAAAAAAGTTTTTTTTTCCATCAATAAAGATGATCGAGACTGCAACACATTAAAATACTTGCATGCCAAATCCTGAATTCTCTCTCTCTCTCTCTCTGTCTCTCTCTCTCAAACAGACGCACATCTTTATGGAGGTTTTTCCCGTCTTCAGCAATGTAGCCACACAAAGTAGCTTTGCTTTCACAATTAAGAGACCAGAAACAATGCAATAAGAAACATTATAAACTACAATAAAACTTCACACATTTGTTAAACCGCGTTTTCCAGCCCCCCCCCCCCAAAAGATGTTATTGCTTCGAAATGCTGCTGGGTTGGCCCGGGATTTTCCCATGGAGATGGATCAAACTAAATGCAAAGGAACCAGGCTCAAGGCTGCCGCTGCGTGGACAACACAAGCAGGAACGAAGCTGCGCGGGAAGATGCTGCTGCTGCTGAGGATGGAGATTTCTTATATATATATATATATATATATATATATATACACATATATATATATATATATTTTTCTCTCAGTGCTAATTCCGTCTCTTAAAGGTCACATTCTTCCTTTAAAACTGCTAACGATAAATCTCGGTCATTTGAAATTCAATCTAAAATGATTTTTTTTAAATGTCGCTTCTACTGCTTAACAGGTTGTTTGCAAAAAAAAAAAAAAAAAAAAAATCAGAGTTTATATTAGATAAGTTTTTATTTTTCTTAAGATTTGATTTAAAAATCACTTCGACTAATATACTAAACAAACAAACAAACAAACAAACAAACAAACAAAAAAATCATAAGCAGAAATGTGGGAAAGCGTTTGACTTCCTTGCCAAAAAAAAAAATAATAATAAAAAAGCAAGTGTGGGTAAATGAGCCAATTTAAAGGATCAATAGGATTTATAATTTCGTTTCCAGCCCATATTCACGGCTGAGCACGGCGATCAGATGGTATTGATCAGAGGGGGTGCAGGAGGAGGCTGCCAAAGATCAGAGCCGATAATGAAGGGCTCATTTGTTCAGCTTAAATTCTTAATCGTTTTGAAGTAGTGAAACTACTCGGGACTCCACAGTCACACCCAAGGTTTTTTGTTCAGCCTTAATTCAGGACTGATTTAGACACTAAAAGTAGAGAAGATAAATATCAAATTACAAAATGTAATAGTAAAATCCGAATAATAATAATAATAATAATAATAATAATAATAATAATAATAATAATAATAATAATAATAAATAATGTTTTTATCAGTCATAACTATTAATTAACTTCACAACCGCCATTATTTTTAGCTGTTGAGAGTTATTTCCATCCATTCTCAGACATATTTTTGGCCTCTGATCATTTGTGACAGTCACTTCTTGTAATATTTCACTAACATAGAATCCATGTCATCATCGTCAAGCTCAACTACGCATTTTTGTCTCTTCCTTTCATTTTTTTCCCAGTATTAAAAAGCCTCCTCCAATCTCCCTCCGTCTGCAGGCGAGCTTTCCAGCTTTCAGCACCAACCTGAGAAGCGCCCAGAGCGCAGCGAGTTCTGCCGCCTTCTCCCTACGAGGCCGACCCGGCGGCAGCCCCATTAGGTCATAATGCTCTCTAATATAACCCGAGTCCGCCGTCTAATAGACCCAGGCAGGCCTGCCGGCGGCTCTCTCTTTCTCTCCCCCCAGCCCCTCCTCGGTAATCACAAGCTGTAATGGAGAGACGAGATGTAAAAAAAGCGTCCATGTCAGCAGCATATCGGTGGTTAATGATCTATTAAGTGATCCGTGTGCTTATGGACAGCGAAAAAAAAGTGTTGATGCTTGCTTATTCGGCCCCTAATGAGAGTCCCATCCTACGGATTTTAGGAATGAATAACAGAAATAAAATCAACCTTTGAAATGTTACATTTAACAGTTGACGCACGGAAGCTGGAGAGGCAGCTCCCCACAGCTCACACGTCTCACACCTGCAACGGGCCCCGCTGGAGTCACGCAGGAGGCCCGCAGTCCTGTCCGTCTGAGCCGGTCGAACACAGGACGGCGACATTTGTCCTTCATATGCGAGGATTTTTTATTTTTTTTTTCCCATTCCGTTTAAGGACTAATCCAAACCTGGGTACCTGCATGCCATGGATCTGAACTCAAACTTTGTTGAAGGACAAACTTCACAAAGGAATTATTTTTGGGGCCAGACAGAGATGGATTTTTTTCTTTCTGTTTATAGCTTTTGGCCGTTTCGGAGTAATAATCGACCTTAACTGTTCCACCCCGAAGGTTCCTGGAAACGTTACAGAACAAAACGGTGGTGGATGGTAGCCGCCGAGAGGCCCGTAAGAAGGGAGGGTGAGGAATGGCGATGGAGCCTCGTTGTGCCGCTTTGATGCGCTTTGACGCAGGAGGGAGTGGAGAGATGCGCAGAGCAGAAGCGCTCTTCCAAAAGCGCAGTGACTACTTTCAGCAATGTGTGTGTGCGTGAGCGTGTGTGTGTGTGTGTGTGTTTAAGCTGGGAAAAGTTATAAATCAAGTGTTACTGCTGCAACTTTGTGCTTTTAGTTTGTAGGTTGCGTTTTGGTTTATTGTAAATAAATAAGATTTCCCCGCATTAGTTTCTGCTCATTAATTATTTATGTCGAATAACTATCCAGTTACTCCTAAATATATGCATTGTATCCCAGTTCCGTGAACAAGAGAATCGCAGAAGAATCAGGACTAATTCAATAATAATTATTATTTGCAAAGCGTTAAAAGCTCGTGATTTTTTTCTCTCTCGAAAATAAAATATGCACGAGTAAGCATCAGTATGCTGCATTTACAAACCGAGTTACTTAAATAGACTCCCCGCTAAATAATTGTCTCTTGAAGCATATATTATTAAGACGTGCTGTGTGCTTAAACAGGCAGAGTCTCTGTTGAAGGTTTAACAACCTCACCATGGGTAACGGGGAGAATAAGTCGTGATAAAACTGAGATAAATTGCATTTTTTTAAATGTATATTTTGTTTGGTCCTGTTAAAGAGCATCAATTGAACACTCTGAGCATTTAAGTTTTCTTTAAATCCTCACGTTTCAGCTGTTTTTCTTAGGCACGTTTGATTCTGGGACTTCTTTGCATAGGTGGGGGTAGTCCCACTCTTACCATCCAATCTACAAAAAAAAAAAAAAAAAAAGGTAACTGTATTGTGTTAGCAAGGGAAAAAGTGGGTTTCTTTTCTTGTAACAGGGCGCCTCTTGTGGCGCTCCCACTTAATGCGCAAAGTTTGATGTAGGTCTTATTCAGTGACATGCAGCGATACGGTTCCAACCTCTGAACAGGATGTTTTTTATTTATTTAATTAATTATTTTTATTTTAGTCCTGAAATGCTAACAGACACAAGGAATATATAAAGTTGATTGGAAGGCCAGGGCATAATTGTAGGCCCTTTTCTTAGATTAGATGTCCCTGATTGACATGTAGTAAATATAACAACAAATAAATGTCAGTGTGCACTGTACTGGCTTAATCCCAGAAGAAAAAGGACAATAAATCTGCCTTTTGCTGTGGTCATTTCATTAATGTAAATTGCAATGCTATGTATGATAGTTTGGCTCCCTTCCAGCTGGCTCTTTGCTCAGGCTTGTGCATGATATTAGCTTTTATTATGAACTGGCACAGTGTGGCCACAAAATGTAGGCGACACCACAAGAACCAAATATCAGAGTGCAGGCATAACATAATTAAAGGCCATATTCTCGGTCATAACCACAATTTATATCTGTGTTTCCCTAAGCCAAGGATTGGCTTCTGGAACTCAAAAGAAACTTATGATGTACTGAGAACGTAATTAGAATCAATTTCTACTCACACTTTCATGTTACCGTTAAGGAAACGGTAACCCTGCGGCATTCTCCCCCAAATCCCTGTGACCTGTCACCATTTGTGGACATTTTCTGTGCATGAATCTGTCAAGCCATATCTCTGGGTTACATTAAAGAGGGTTCGATGAATATTCTGGAAAATGTGCGTCACCCGCAGCAGAGCCCATACAGCACCTGGATGTTATTAAGCTAAAAGTAAAGAGAGAGATTTAATAGGCTTCAAATGGCTCTGTGCAATATCTGAAGATACTTCTTTGCTGTCTAGCATGCGACACATTAATGTTTATGACTGGAATTACTTTGTTCTCACTGTCTGCTGTGAATGCAGGAAGAAAGCTGCTCATGCAAAATCTATACCAGAAACTATGGCTTCTGCATGAGCAACCCTTGTTTACAAAACACTATTGGTCTCCCAAAAGCCATTTTTAGATGGTATAATTCTGGGTTTTAAGATCGCTTTTATTGAAGAGGGTAACGGATAATACAAGGGTATAATACATGTTTTTAAAATAAAATAGAACAGAAATATCTGTTACTGTCCCACAATGGGGACATTTCTGTGCAACAGCAGCAAAGTGACGGGCAATAAAAGCAAGTAGATTCATGCAAAGATAGAAATGA